GGTTGGGCTGGGCTATGCAGAACCTGAAACACAAGGGACTGCCTGTGGGATGATGAACTTCCCCTCACAAGTGTGCCAGCTGGGTGGGGACAGCTGGGCCATGTGGGACTGGATAGTTGCCTCCAGGGCTGGGTTGGGGGTGATCTGGATGCCAATCTTTGTCCCCAGGAAGCAAGATGGCAGCTGGGCCAAATGGGCTCGAGGAATGGGTGGGCAGCGCATACCTGTTTGTGGAGTCTTCACTGGACAAGGTGGTCTTGGCAGATGCCTACGCTCACCCCCAGCAGAAAGTGGCAGTGTACAGAGCTCTGCGGACTGCCCTGGCAGGTGCGTGGGTGGGCAGCACTTGAAGAGGAATGGGTGGCCTGGGGCCTTTTGTGAGGGGGGCCAGGGACTGAGACCCTACCACTTCAACTCTATGGGCCTGCACTTAACCAGTGCTTTAGGGAAAAGATTTGTTGCAAAAGGTAGGACATAGGCTGGCTGCATAGGCTCTGTCTTCTTTGTTTACACATGTGTGCCCTTGAATGTAAACTTGTGTCCCTGTGTCTGTGTACCATCTACTTATGTATGCACTAATGTCCCTCTGCTCCATGCCCCCTACTCCCCAGATCAGCCCGTTCACTGCTTTCTACTAATCTCACATCTCTCTCCTCTTTTCCTTTCTCACTGCAGCATTCCTTGTCCAAGACCTCTCCCCAGTACCTACCTTTCAGGTCCCCTTTTCCCATCTCAGGAAGAGGCCACAGAAGGCTGAAGCGGGTGGGGTGGGTCTGGCTCCAGCCTCAGAGCAGAGAGAGCCCCTCTCCTTCCGGGGCGGGGCTGGGGGAACCAAACTAGGAGGCAGAAGACCTGAGACCTCCTGCCCCTCCCATGCCCTAACAGCCACCTACCCAGAGGTCTTAGCCCCTTAAGGCACATGTGCCTCTCTATGCTGCAAAGTCTCCCCACTTCCCTTTTGCCCACCCTCATTTGGGGCTTCAGGGATGGGGTCTAGGGTGGCACCCACGCCGTCTTAGGGTGCTCCCTGTGATAGGTCCTGGCCTTTATCCTGGGTTGCTTCTGTCTGTATCCCAATTTCGCTTCCCAGCTGGGAGTTCTGGGGTATACCACGCCCACAGGTCTGGGGATGGGGAGGGCGTCTGACCTCAGGCTTCATTCCTCCTTCAATCTGTTGGAGAACGGTCCCGCGTGGGTACCGCTGGCACCTGACTGCCCGCCTCCGCAGAGAGTGGCGGGAGCCCAGACGTGCTGCAGCTGCTCAAAATCCATCGCAGCGATCCGCAGCTGATTGTGCAGCTGCGTTTCTGCGGGCGCCAGCCCTGCGGCCGCTTCCTCCGCGCCTACCGCGAGGGGGCGCTGCGCGCCGCGCTGCAGGGGTGTTTGGCGGCGGCGCTTGCCCTGCACTCGATGCCGTTGCAACTGGAGCTGCGCGCCGGCACGGAGCGTCTGGACACCTTGTTGACCGATGAGGAGCGTTGTTTGAACTGCATCTTCGCCCAGAAGGTGCGGTCGGGCTGGGGCCGGGCTGGGGTAGGGCAGGGATTGGCGGCTAAGACCCCCACCGACGCCGCACTCCCCTCCCTAGCCCGACAGGCTCCCCGACGAGGAACTCACTGAGTTGGAGGACGCGCTCAGGAATCTGACGTGCGGCTCAGGGGGCCAGGGAGGCGAAACGGAGGGTGCTCCAGCCCCCTCGCAGTCCCTGGCCCCCTCTCCAACGGAGGAGAAGCCGCTGCCGTCTGGCCAGACTTTTCTGTTCCAGGGTCAGCCCGTAGGTGAGGCGTCCGGAGAGAGGCAGAGGCAGGGTCGTCGGGAGGATGGAGTCTGGGGAAGGGTGAGGTCTGGAAGGGGTAGTCGTAGGGTGGGGGTAGAATGGGACGGTATACCGAACTCACTTCGCTTCCCACTCCCCCTGCAGTGAACCGGCCGCTGAGCCTGCAGGACCAACAGATGTTCGCGCGCTCAGTGGGCCTCAAATGGCGCAAGGTGGGGCGCTCCCTGCAGCGCGGCTGCCGCGCGCTGCGGGATCCAGCGCTTGACTCACTGGCTTATGAGTACGAGCGCGAAGGGCTATACGAGCAGGCCTTCCAGCTGCTGCGGCGCTTCGTGCAGGCCGAGGGGCGCCGTGCCACACTGCAGCGCCTGGTGGAGGCGCTCGAGGAGAATGAGCTCACCAGCCTGGCGGAAGACTTGCTGGGCCTGACGAATCCAGATGGAGGCCTGGCCTAGGTTGGGTACCAGAGAAAGGGGTGGTGAGCCAGTTGCCCAGCCAAGGTTTGGAGCACTTGGATGACTCCATAGGGTCCCTTCTGCTGCTACTGCTGACTGACCTCTGTTCATCCAACGGACTCTGAGACCACAATTACCACCGCACTTAGCGGAGCTGCTGGAGCTGCTGGAGCTGCTGGATGGAGTTGACTATCTTTTGCAGGAGTCCGACAAGCACTCACAAGCCTGCTGGGGCGTCACTGGGGGTTCTGCTCTGGAGACTTTGATAGAGACAAAGTGTATGGGTGACCTGCTGCAGAGGTTGGCCTCACCCGCTCCCACCCCAGAAGAGGGGCTTCCAGTCAGACCTTACCTCTTCACTCATTGAACCTTCACTCATTAAGAAACTGCTGTATTCTAGGCATCATCTTGGGTGCTGCAAATACTGTGGTACACGAATCCTGCCCGCGCCCAGCTCACACTCATTGTGAGACTCCAAATATTAAGCAACAGTAATAAAATACCACCCGTTTTTTGATGTGAAAAATACAAGGAGTTGTGGGAGTGACTAAGCAGGAGCCTAACCCAGGTTAGGAGTCAGGTTTCCTGGGAGAAAAATAGGTGTGAATGGTGGGTAGGAGGGTTGAGAGAAGAGCATGGGCAGCCTCAGATGAGGTCTTAAGAAACATGAGAGGGAGGCGTGTTAGAAAAACAAATCATCTAGAATGGCTGGATCTAGAGGTGGGTGGATTTGCAGAGAGACCCACTGGTGAGTGAGGGAGGCAGATAGTGTGGGGCCTGGAAGTCATTTTACAGAGCCTGGATTTTATCTGGGGGCCAGTGAGAAGCCTTTAAAGGGTTTTGGCAGTTAAGGCTGGGAGGCTGGTGAGGACGCAGAGAGAGAGAGGACAGCAGTCCAGGCTGAGCTGTTGGCAGCAGAGATGGAGGGAAGGGATGAACACTGAGAGCTGTTGAGGAGAAAGGATAACAGGTCTGGTGACACTGAATGAGAAGGGAGGTGGGAGAGGACCCCAGAGTTTCTGTCTTTGCCAGCTGGATGGAGAGCAGAGCTGCCTGCTGAGTTAGGGGCTCTGGTGGAGGTGCAGTGCTTGCTTTGTTTGGGACAAGTTGGGCATGATGTTCCTGTAGAATATCCAGGGAGGGAGTCTGCGCATAGCTGGATCTATAGTTTTGAGTTCAGGAAAGGGACAAAGCTAAGGATTCACAAATGGACAGGTAGGAGTGGGTGAGGTGGCCAGGGGGTAGGTCCTGAAGGACACCAACCAGAAAAAGAGCAACCCAAAGAGGAAGGAGGAAAACCAGAAGGTTTGGAAGCCAGGGAAATACCCACCTGCTGTGATGGAGGCTGCAAACCTGTCAAGGCTGAGTATCCACTGGAGTCAGGGAAAATGTTACTAGGTGGAGGCTGTTTCTGGGACACGGTGGGGACAGCCTGAAGCCAGACCATAAGAGGGATGGGAGGTGAGGCAGTAGAGAAAGCCAGAGCAGAGGGCTCCTGAGAATTCTGTGAACAGGAGAATGAGGCTCAGGATACAGGATTTGTTTTTTAAGGGAGAACACTGGTAGGAAGTCAGAAGCAGCAGTCATAGCCACTGGAAAGAGGATGGTGCTGGGTAGCGGTGCTGGGTAGCAGTGCTGGTTCGCACAGCCTGCCCTCAGAAGCTCCCAGGTGGGGTAAGGGGTGGAGGTTGTCTACTCCAAGACCCATTGCATGAGCTGGGATCTGGAGGCTCTGAGTTCCAGGAAGTGAAAGGTGGCAGCAGAGCTAGGCAAGGCCTGAGCCCTCGAATCTCCAGAGCACCTCTCTGCCTGCCTGGGTCCAGATCAAACAAACCCTTTGCTTGCTAGCCTACTTCAGGAGTCCCCCAAGCTGAACCAATCCCTGCCAGCCCTACCGGACCTGCAGGGGGCCCAAGCTTGGCTATTTCTACCTGCAGGAGGCTACACTGGCCTGGACACTAGGGACCAGGGGACTGTCTCTAGGGAGACAGACTGAAGTGCTCACTTGTGAAGTTAAAGCAGACAAGGTCATCCCCCTGTCCTGTATCCCAGTGGATGAGGGAGAGAGGCAAGGGAGGACATAGGAAAAAGTCCTGGACTGAATTCTGGAAGACCTGAAGCCGTGCTCTTACCTTCTGCCTGTATGATCCTGGGCAAGTCACTTACCTCCCTGAAGGGCAGCAACCCTATCTGGGCATGATCAATGAGAGCTGCTGCCAGGGTTGTGAGAACTGAACGAGCGTCTTGTTGGTTCTTGTGTGTGTGGTGTGTTTGCCGGCAGGCATGGCAGAACCAAGAGTAAGGAGGCAGCCATGTATCTGGAGCATTTTTTGGACCCTGTCTTCCAGAACCAGGGCTCCTGGTAAGCCAAGGAGAGGCGCCTCCTAGGGTGGGTTGGGAGGGGCCAGGTGTTTGCCAAAGTTGCTGGGCTCCAGGGATTTGGGACCCGCCTGCCCTGGTTCTCCTGCCAACCCAGGCCCTGACCCACACTGGAGAGACAGGGATGGGGAAACTAACCAGAGGGGCTAATGCTTCTTCCTGTCTCCTGGAAAGGCAGATTTGGGGAATTTGAGCCTGCACAGACACCAGAATCCACCTCTTCGAGCCTTCCCAGAGAGAGCTGCCAGTGAGGATCCCTCTCAGAAATTAGTTCCCACTCGGAGACAGGGCTCACAGCGGCGGCGCCAGGGCGGAGCTGAGCTCCAGATGTCCGGGCGCGCACAGCTGTTGGGTCACGTGGCAGCGGCCCGGGCCCCCCTTCCTGCCAACGTTGCATTTGGCCCAGGCCCCGTCCATGGCCGCCCTTGGGACCCTACGCTGAGCCCCGGAGGCCCTGGCATCCGGGGCTGCGCCGCTCCCAAAGGTCAAAGGTGTGTCAAGATTCCAAGGACGACCGTGGTGGGTAGGGATGGGTAAAATGGATTGGGCCTCAGCGCGGGAAGGGGGTGGGGCCGAGGCTCTGCGTGTCCTTGTCCCGGCCTTGGGGCACCGTCCTGGGCGGGAGCTCAGGGGTGGGAGTCAGCTACTAGGAGGAACTTCTTTCCCTTTCAGGGTGCCCATCCCGGTGGGGGGTGGTCAGGGCCCAAAGTAGGAGGACACTGGAGGGGGATGAATGGCTGGTAGCTGGAGACCCCGGAGTGTGGCCTCCTGCCCCCTCCCCTTGGGGAGGGCTGGGTAGGAAACCCTGGGGGCTGCTAGGTTCCCAGTCTGATGCCCTGATTGAGTTCTCTCTCCCCAGGGGGCGCGGGCCACGCGGACATGAGGCGGAGGCTGCGCCTACGCAGAGAAGCGTCGCTCACGCTGCTTCTCGGCGCCGCCCTCGGCCTCCTCCTCTACGCGCAGCGCGATGGCGCGGCCCCGACGACAAGCGCGCCGCGAGCTCAAGAGGGGGCGGCGCTGCAGCCCACCGCGGGGCTCCGTGTATTCCCGGCACCCGACGCGGGTGCAGCCCCGCCGGCCTACGAAGAGGACACGCCGCAGCCGCCCACGCCCACGGGACCCTTTGACTTTGGTCGCTATCTGCGCGCCAAGGACCAGCGGCGCTTCCCTCTGCTCATTAACCAGCCGCAGAAGTGCCGAGGAAATGACGCATCTGCCGGCGGACCTGACCTGCTCATCGCCGTTAAGTCGGTGGCGGCGGACTTCGAGCGGCGCCAAGCCGTGCGCCAGACGTGGGGTGCTGAGGGTCGCGTGCAGGGGGCGCTTGTGCGCCGGGTGTTCCTGCTGGGCGTGCCCAGGGGCGCAGGCACGGACGGGGCAGACGCGGAAGGGGCGGGCACGCAAACGCACTGGAGCGCTCTGCTGCGTGCTGAGAGTCGAGCGTACGCAGACATCCTACTCTGGGCCTTCGACGACACTTTTTTCAACTTGACGCTCAAGGAGATCCACTTCCTGGCCTGGGCCTCCGCCTATTGCCCCGACGTGCGCTTCGTTTTTAAAGGCGACGCCGACGTGTTCGTGCATGTGGGAAACCTGCTGGAGTTCTTGGCGCCGCGGGACCCGGCGCAGGACCTGCTTGCGGGTGACGTGATTGTGCAGGCGCGGCCAATCCGGGTGCGGGCTAGCAAGTACTACATTCCCGAGGCTGTGTACGGCTTGCCCGCCTACCCGGCCTATGCAGGCGGCGGTGGCTTCGTGCTCTCAGGGGCCACACTGCGCCGCCTGGCTGGCGCCTGCGCGCAGGTTGAGCTCTTCCCCATCGACGACGTCTTTCTGGGCATGTGTCTACAGCGCCTGCGTCTCACACCTGAGCCGCACCCTGCTTTCCGCACCTTTGGTATCCCTCGGCCTTCAGCCGCGCCGCACTTACGCACCTTTGACCCCTGCTTTTACCGCGAGCTTCTTGTAGTGCACGGGCTCTCCGCTGCTGACATCTGGCTTATGTGGCACCTGCTGCACGGGCCGCGTGGGCCAGCCTGTGCGCATCCATGGCCTGTCGCTACTGGCCCTTTCCAGTGGGGCCCCTAGCCACTTACCACAGCACCCAGCTCCCCTCATTCAGACCCAGGATGTAGTGGGAGGTGGTTTTAATGGTAGGTTTCCCAGGGCGGATTACTGCGGTGTGTATGGTTCTTCCGCAGAAAAGGGCGTGAGTTCAGGATCCAGCCCCATTGTCACCAGGAGTCTGCCTCCTCAGGGTCTCAGGGATTGAAGATTGAGCTTGGCTCCTGCTGACCTACCCTAATGGGAGGTGATCTGGAACCAATCAAATGGTGGCTCTTGAGATGGGCAGGGATGAGGTGGTGCACCATCAGGCTCTTTGCCAAGCGGGTAAACAAGTTTGGTGCTCCTAGTAGGGATGTGTGTGTGGTGGGAGTGGCAGAGGCTCATGGAATCTGACCATACTCCTTGGCTTGGAATTCTTAGGGCAGACAAATGCAGGTCTTTCTCAAGGATGGCCCCACAGGGAGGGGCAGGGGTAGGGACCTGACCTCAGTCCTCATGGGACTGGCAGGCATTCTCCCACAACTCAATCTGAAAGTAGGTGTTTTGCTTCCTACCTGTCCCTTCAAAGTGGATTCTTAACCCTGTCCAGGTCTTTAGTTTTCCTACTGTCTGCTTTCCTGGGGCCAACTCCTGAGCCCTGGACTGGATGGAGCACCAGGGATGGAGACACACAGGGACTGAGGGCATTGTCCTACCTAAAGTCTTTCACCACCTCCAGCTACCCACTGAAAAAGAACCTACAACCACAAAACAGAGTCTCCTACTGGAGGCCATGCTGCCCCCTTCAGAGAAGCCAAGGAACCTCTTTTCCTAAGATGACTTCACTATAAATTTCCCCATATTCTTCAACCACCCCCTTTTTCATCCCTCCCCAAAAAACAATGCCTCCATGCTTATTTTAGTACAAACACCCCAGCAACAGCATATTGCTGAGGGCATAGGTCTTTATTGGAGGAGGGGTGTGGGCAGGGCATGAGGAAGGTTCCCCCATTCTACGAGGATGGGAACAGTCCTGGCTGCCACACAGTGGGATGTGCAGGGTGTCTCTGGCCAGGCCACAGTCCACATGGGAAGACACTAATCAGTCACAAAGTCATGGGAATGCCACACAAGCCTGGCTATATGCCCAGGAACCACAAAGGAGCCCGGGACACTCATTGTTAAACTATACAGGATGAGGCTGTACATGAGTTAATTACAAAAGTCATATTTACAAAAATCTGTACACACATTTGAAAAACTCACAAAATTGTCATCTATGTATCACAAGTTGCTAGACCAAAATATTAAAAATGGGATAAAATTATACATTTCTCTTCTCAATTCTTTTCAAAAGGATTAATATTTTTAAAGCACATAAGCTACTTTCCTTAGTAAGTCCCATGAAGAGACTAAGCAGCCAGCCCTCCTTGAGCCCCAGAGGCCTTGAGCCATGAATGGGCCTGGCCAGGAGACACTGCCCTGGCTTGGGACAGCGAAGCCAAGCCCATAGTGCAGAACAGAATGCTGAAACACAACAAAAGGAGGAAGATGTCTTTGGCTAAAACTTTGGCATTAAATAAAAAAGGCAGACAAGATGGAAACATGCAGCCCTGCCAGCCAGGTTGGGCAGAGTAGGGGCACAGGCAACCCTGAAGGCTCGCTCCAAGAGGGGTGGGAACCAGGTCTGGGCACATAACTCAATGGCAGAAAGTTGTTTCAACCACCTGGGTGTGCCTACTGGGCCTGGCAGAGAGCACGTGCAAGAAAGGAACAGGGAAGGGCAGGTGGGCCACCTTGGGCACAGCCAGCTCATCAAGTAACTAAAGTGGATGTAGTGCAAAAGTCGCAACCAAGTACTGTGGACATGCTACCTGCTTGCCTTAAGGGTAATGTGGCAATGTTGGGCCAAAGGCAGGACCTTGTCCTCGTCCTGGGTTCCTGTGTCCTCAGCCACAGAAAGAGCCCCAAGTTTTCCCAATGTGTATGGGACAGGGGAGACAGAACCCTGCCTCCTTACATTAGTAGAGAGCTCCTGGGTCCAGGTATCAAGGCTCAGTTTGTGCTTCTCTCTGCAGTCTGCGTCCCCTGTTGGCACCAGCAGGCTGAGAACAGACAGAGGAATATCTGGCTCTCTCACCCCATGGCATAACATCCAGCCTGAGCCCCACCTCAGAACATCACAACAGCCCTTCCATACTGGTAAGGTGTCCGAGAAAACCCACAGGGTAGCACAGGGAGGCCCACTGGACAAGATGTGAAGCACAATTCCGTGGGGCAGAGGGACATGGGTGGTGATGTCCCTAGGGGAGCTCTGCTGTTCTCAGGTGGGCACCAGGCCTAGGAGGGCCATAAAGGGTCACTGAGGCAATGTGGTTATTCTGCATGACCTAGAATGAGAAGAGGACAGTAAGTCAAGGGGGAGGAATAGAAGGGATGTAAGCAGAGCAGACAACCAGACCCACAAAAACTACCACTGTGACTTGAGGGAAGGGACTTGAGGCAGCTCCTGTGCACAGGGGTTGGAACTTGTGTGTGTAACACACCAGCCACGGGGCTGGGCTGATGCCTCAGCACCTCCCAACTCATGCTAGAGGTCTTCTCTGCCCTCATGTCTGCCTGTTCCTCTGGGATACATCAACTCCACCATGTCCATTTGTCCAGTCCTGGACACACTAGGGGTCTAGGTTATGGCATCCAGATGGGAAAACAGGGGCAGCTCATTCTTCTTCCAAGCCAGGGGGGACTCTATAATCACCCCATAGCACATTCATTCACGTGCCATTTAAAGGCCTCTAACATCCCTGGACTTAGCCCCACTTGCCCTGTGGTTCCCATTCCTACTGTACTCGCGTTTTCAAATCTACATGTAGGATCCTCATTACCTCTCAGTTTGTTGGATTAACTTGCTCAGCAGGTTAGGCGCTCCCTTCCCAATCTCTCTCAGTCACTCGCCTGTCCTTGCCATGACTACTGGCCCCTCAAATCCCCAGGGCTTACCTCAAAAATCATCCGCTGAAGACCAAAGCAGAATGTGGAGCCAAAAGGGTTGGTGTTGTTTGGGGAGGAGGACCTGAGGCCGGGGAAGCCAGAATTAGAGGGGCAGACAAAGGCCAATGCCAGCCAGGGCATCTAGTCCTTTTTGGGATGGGGGCTATTAGCTAATGATCTCTTAATGGCTGTGAGCATCTGTTTGCCACACAAGTCCTTGAGGTCCCAGGCACAGTGATAGGTCTCATTTAAGCTCTGAATCCTACATAGTCCAGCTGTCACAGAAGTTATTATGCAATTGGACTGGAGTGGTGCAAAGTCAGGAAGAAGAGGAGCCTCAGGCAGCATGGTAACCAGGTATTGAGCTGTAAGCTACGGCAGGTAGCAGCTTTGAGAGGGCAAAGAGTACAGGACAGCTAGTCAAAACTGCCTCCCTTTCTGAGTAACTAGGGTGAAAAGGTCCCCATACCTGGAGGCAGGTGGGGAAGGAGGGAGACCTATCCCCAGGGGGCAACCTCTGTGGTACAGGTAAACACAGAGAACAGCTGGCCCAGTCCTAACATACAAGGTTGGGTCAGGAAGTCTGTTTGTGGCAACACCAGAAATTTCTGTCATTTTTAAGTCATACCCACTGCTAGAGACTTCCCTAGGCCTTCTGGGTTGTAAGGAGCCGGATGGGGTAGTTAGAGACAGCAACTTCCCACTCACCTATGCAGGACAACAGGCTTCTCCACAGGGTGGCCCAGAAGTTCCTGGATGTTGTCCCACTGCAAGAGGGGTGGTGGGTGACAGGGGATTAGCAGAGACCTGACCATGCCTGTGACCAATGGCTGGCCCAAAGGATATGGGGCCCTAGACTGCTGGCAGGCTCACACCTACCTCATTTTCAGAATGTCAGATGGGAAAATAGAAGTTTACCTTGCTGTAGGTTGTGCATGTTTCTGTCTGACCATCTGTGTTTTCTGAAAAGAGAACACACTATGGTTGACAGCTGGCCTGGCCTGTATTCAGTTCCATATCTATTCAGGTAGATGGCTCAGCTCACCTGTGACGCCAGCCTAGCTACCATATGCACTGGGACTGAAGTTTGGACACCAGTGATCTCAGTCATAGGATAAGACCTTTAGGGCCTCCAGGAGACTATAGACCAAGAACAAGGCAACCCCCAGAATAAAGAGCCCAACCAGGCGAGCTGAGGCTATATGGGCAGAAGCAGGTGGGCAAAGACTCCACAAAACCTACTAATACCACCCTCTCTGCGTGGATCATCATCTCTTCTCATTTTGAGAGACTGACTCTAAACCCTTTTCTTACCCTGAGGACATTGACTACTTACCTCTCTTTATGGTTAGTGGGATCTTGAACTCACAGCGGTGATAACTAGAGAGAGAAGGCAGAAGGGTAAAGGGTGGACGCCCTGGGAAGCCTCATCACCCCTGCATCTGCATCCCAGGAAAAACAGGATCAAGATCACTTGCCCAAAGCCCTGGCTCTGGGCTCGACACAGTGTTCACTAGGAGAGGCCAGATTTGGGCACTGGAGTCAGAAAAGGGACCAGCTTGGGGGGCTGAAGACCCTATTATCTATCAGAAGCCAAGCTTTCTGAACCTATTTCCCTATTTGTAAAATGGGTATAAATGGAGAGATGCAAGGTAATGGACACTATACCAGGAACAGAGCACTCAGGAAATGTTCACTGCCCATGAAACACCAAACATCCAAAGCCACAAGCTCTCCTTCCTGGGGATTTTTTTAGCTCAAAACTCACTTCTTGGAGGGGCAGGTATAGGTATACTCACATATTAAAATTATAATGTCCAGGGTAATTGGTATGTAGGACAAACTTCTTCACTTTGTGTGTATTCGCGTCAAAGAGAATGTCCTGGGATAGAAAATAAAGATGCCGAAGTGGGGAAACTTACTGAGGCAGGTGACACACACCCAACCACCTATAGGCCTCCCCATCCTAAACTTTGTACTAGCAGGCCCGGCAGACACAGGGGTTACAGTTCCTACTGCTTGGGAACCCAAACATAGTCAGGGAGATCTTTCCTGACAAAAAGGACCTGGTGAAAAATCTAATTGAGCACAGATTTTGACTTAAAGGCTACCAGGAGGATTCAGGGGCCACCTGACTCTAAGGGGCTCAAGGCACCTGGCTATTCTGAATGCCATGACCTGCCAGGCACTTCTGACTTCCACAGGCCTACTCTGTGGGAGTCAGCAACCCCTGGAACTGAAATTCCAGCTTCCAGTCAGGACTCAGATCTGGATGACATTACCTACTCAACACTTCTTTACCCTTCCCCCAACTCTTCCCAGCTTCATATCCTCCCAGCTGTTCACACCTGTGACCCCAGGATTACCCCAGACTGCACTCTTCCACCATAGCTATACCATGTCCTATTAGAGTTGGTCCATTCACTACAACTTCCACTTATCACTGGCCCTGGAACTCAAAAAGAGGTCCAGCTTACAATAGTGCCATTCTCTCCTGCCACCATCCTATCATCAAGAGTTTATGATCCCACTGCCCCACTACTCCTGGATCCTCTTTGGTCTTTTCCACACCAGCAGACCCAGTCCCCCTTTCTTTCTCGGGGTATACTCTTTCTTTGCTCAGGACCTCAGGTCCTAGAAAGCCAAAAGGTTAGAAGACCCAAGAGGCCAAGCCCTGCCCTCTGAGATGCATCCTGCTAGACAACAATTTCTCTCACACACATCACATATAGCAGCTGGACTATCAGCACTGATGGTGGCCACAGCTCCATTCAGCACCTTAGGCCCAGAGCATAGGGCTTCAGCAATGCCTCTGGGCTGATCCCTAAAACTACAAAAGCGCACTCCCAGTCTTTAAACCATTTTTTGTCTCTCTGTTTTGTGACTCCAGAAGAAGGTCTTCTGTTCTACAAAATAGCAGTTCCCAAAACATCTTGAACCTAAATGATTCCTGCACTTTTGGAGCTTGTTTCCCTCAGAAAAGAAGTCAAGATACACAAGGAAACTTGGTGTTTCTTAGCAATCCTGGTGTCAGGAAAGGTCTACTTTGGGGTACCAATGCCAATGCAAAACAGCACTGGTAAAGCCACCTGGGGCTAGGTTCCCTGCTGCTAGGTATGGTTACAGCTGCATGTGTACACACAGGTGTGCCCAGGTGCACTGCCCACCCCCAACAGAAATGAAACACTTCTCTAAGGAATCACAACTTACCACTCCAAGAGTGAAGTAGTTAAAAAAGTAGTCATTGCATTTGGATGGAACTTGCTTATGAGGAGAGGGAGAATGAATCTTCATCTGTTGGGGGGAAAATAACAAGGAATTAAAATCCAACCTCTT